ACATATCTGCCTTTATTTTCAAGGTAAAATGACTTAACAGTACCCAGGCCTCAGTACTTAGAGTATCAGGCTTCAGGGTATTGAAGAATTGAGGATTTAGATCAGAACTGGGAGTCATTTTCAAGTTCTCTGAAACTAGATGTTGTTTAATCATGTTATGGTTGTGAGATTAGAGTGAACATTTGGATTCTGGTCTTACTGGTTATGACACCATGTTTTGTATGTGGTTATCAGCATTTCTGAGGAACATATTTAGGGTAAAAGTGAAGATGAAAGTGATAGATTCCTTTGAAACATTGATAACCACCTACAAGATTACACGGTGTTATAATAACCCAGATGACCAACATCCATGTTGGAGTTGTATTTTTTTAATATTTTCCTCCAAGCCCTTTTAATTGTTTTAGCAGTTGTGTATATGGTAAGCAGCAGCAGCAGCAGCACTTTTCTGCAGACAAATGTACCAGTATTAAATACCACAATCCAGTGGTCTCAAATGTGAGTTGCAGAATTTGCAATAACAATTATATCCTTTGAGTCTTAAGTAATATTTGCACCATTGTATTTTAATATTATGAATGGTTGAACATCATCAAATACGACTTTTGTGTTGCTGTTCATTATCCACCCTGCATGTTTCAGCCTTTCTGGCCATTTCGGTGACACCCATTTATATTAGAACATAGTGTGTTCAATGCATACATGATCGTTGTTGGTCCTTATGAAGACATCTTCAGTTTTGTAGTGTTTACTACTGCATTTGTTGTTACTTTTTGTTGAGTCTAAAATCTTTAAAATTATATTTGAGTATACTATGCATTTGTCATTTAATATTATTATTTTGGGTTTATTTTTCTAGTGTTTACTACATACCCATGTTTATTTTTGTTGAATATAAAATTTTAAAAATTATTTTAAAATTATGTTTGAGGTTTACCTTCTTTATTGATATTATTGCTTTTAGTTCAACATTTTGTTGTTGCCCGTTTATAACATATTTTATGGCATACTACTGTGTATTCTCACTTGCCCTGTGCTGTGATTTTTATTTGGTAAGTTTCCTTGTGTGGTGTTTAAAGTAGGGTGTAGAATAAAAGAACAGCGTATTGTAACACAAAAGTCACATTGATAGTCTTCATTCATATCATAACCTCTAGTGCATAGAAGATTTATAGATCCTCTATCTTATTCAGATTTATGGTATTTCTGATATATTTAAAAGAACTGCATTTTGCAACTAGGACTTGATGTGATTGTCTGCAGAAAGAAATCATTGTCGTTTAGTGACTGGTAAATAGAATAAGCACGATAGATAATGGTTAGAACACACTTATCAGTTCAATAAGAGTCATTAGGAGTACAGTATATGTGCACATCAATATTCCTACTGGTATTTTGGGTGCAATATGATGACACTTTGTTGTGATGCACTTGCTCCACTATTACAGGTTGTATGTGTTTCCTCCTTTCTTTTACTTCCAGCAAGCACATTATTTTTATGCGTATTTTGTGTCTTCAGAAAGACACCATTATTTATGCAGAGTGACTATGATCTGGAGTATTTAGTGTTAAAACTACTGAATACGTTTTGGTGAAATTTTTTGTTATGGGCCTACGCTAGTTTCGTCAGGCAAATGTGATGAAGGTTTGTATCAGTCTAAAATAATAACCTGTACTTTTATATGAAGCTTTGATTGAAATTTATTTTCTCAAATGAAAGCTCATAAAAATAATTGGTACATGATATAAAATATGGATCCGGTTAAGTTCTTGCGACTTTTATTTAAAATACTTTTTATTGTGATGTATTTTAAATAAATTATAATGGAAAAATTTCTCTTTGATTCTGACTTTTACCTCTTATTATTGTCACAAGAGTGCAACACAAGATGGAAAATATTTGTGAAATATAAAATTTTAATATTTTTGTGTTACTTCCAAATTAAAAACCATTGTTCCCCATTTAGTATTCCACATGCC